ATAATTATTAATATTAATTTTTTTAATTATAACCTGATTTTTGAATAAACAAACTTTGGATCTTATTTTTGAAATTGGATCTTAAAACATAGGACTCGGTGTAATTTCCTCCATATATAATACAAAGGCCCAATAAGGTTATAAACCTAGAATCATGTGCCATTTCATGGAAGGCTAAGAGGTTGTTCTCTTTGTATTTCAATTTTGAGTTTTGAATTCATTTTGTATTTTGTGTTTTGAGTGTCTGTTTTGAAGTTGCTGAAAATGTGTTCTTTTTGTCATTTCGAAAAACTGTTTCTCAAAACATAAAAATGGAAAACGCGTTTACCTTGAACTTTTAAGTATATATTTTATTAAAGAAATTTGGTTATTCAATAAATTTTAATAGTTTAATATTAATATAGTATTATATAATATATAAATTATGAAATTGGTGAATCTTAAAATATTTTTTCCATATATAAAAAATACAACCTAAATTAAATTTGGCAAGTCCTTGTTTTTGTCGTTGTACGTAACTTGTGACAAGAATTAACTAGTATCAATCACCAATCCAATAAAAGATCCCATTAAGATCCTTCCCGCTACATCCGTCACCAATCCAATAAAGGACCCATTAAGATAGGTTGGAGACGTTATGCTTTGGAAGCTGGGAGCAAATCCAATGTTTCTCCATGATTTGGTCCGAAGAGTATGAATCTCAACCACCCTATAAGGATAGAATGTTGTTCCTTCAATTTGTGATTTAGCATGTTGATTTTTTTCCTGGAGACAACACTTTAAGAACCTTATATTGATTAATTTGTTGACAAAATCCAAATCCACAAGACACCGTACTCTCATCAGCATTGCTAAGAGCTGGAAGTTCTATATACTCATTTGTGACCGGATTGCATACAATGGTTGTGTTATTAAGATGGCGCTCAGACAATCAAAGTAAGTCGTTACACGAATTCACTATAATGATCTTGTGATTCTTGGTATCCAAGTTAATGGTTTGCTTCATCTTAGTATTCCCCTCATGGAAAGCAATCTCCTGAGCGTCAACATTGAGCAAAGGACTCTTCAATTTGGTATCAAGCTTCAGGATTACTTGCTCCCCAGATTCAATCACATGCAAAGTTTTTGAACATGCAAAGTGATGCTTGGTAAAGTGATGGCTAGAAATTAGATGTTGCCAAGTTTTGTACACACACTTGCACATTACAATCCCTTTAACGGACAGATGTAGCAGAATTTCTAAAATGATGAGCTCCGGTAGATCCATTATGGATTCTCTTGAATTTCTACGTGTTGTAACGCCCATTATTAGGTGAAATCTGGAGAAGAAACAGAAAATAGAAATATTAACAATAATGACAGTTATTTTACAGCATAAAGTAAAAGCATATATTCTTTCACGTATAGTCTACTTGCAAATCTATGTAAGAAACTAAAGAAAAACACAATTTACTTGTAGTTTGTAAAAAAAAAAAA